GAGAACCCCCCCACCTTTGTGTTGGTCATTGTTTGATTGGAATCTCAGGAATTCTTTAGACTTCTAGGGGGGATGTGTTAGGTAACAATAATCCACAGTGTGTATAGGGATTTGGACAGGTAAGGGGGGTACCCCTCAATCCCATATCTTGCCTGGTATAGTGCAAGACACTGATTAACTAGTTCTTTAAACCACAAACTTAAGCCTGGTTTCCATATGTGACTGGCTCTTCAAAAATGGGTAATTACTCGCCAGATTCAGGTTATTTTTATGAGTTTTTGATATGGCTGGATTCTGTACATCAAAAGCTACAATGACTCCTGTAGTGCACTGTGTTCTGGATATATATAGACATTTGTACGTGTATATCCACATTTTTGGATTCAATAAAAGCGCTTTTTGAGAAAAAGCTCTTGAACTGTAGCGCTTGAATTTCCGACTGAATGATCAATTTTTCATCTTCATACATCTTTGTAGACCTACACTGCTGGTGTACTTCAAATATTGACAACAATGGGCCTTAAAAACTGCATTATTCACTACTTTTATAGTTCAAACATTGTGTAATGTTTGGCAGTTTGGTAAAAACGGGATAAAAATTAAGAGAAATTGTGCCATGAATATTTAAGAAAAGTTTGCATGATTATGTACATGTACTTCATACAGGTATGCTTTCATTGACTCTGTCAATATTACCAGAGAAAATAATAAAAGTTTGCGATCAATTTACACCAACATGGTATTATAAGGTCTGGTAAAAAATGGCAATTTTATCAACATGTAAGGCTGTGCTGAATATCCGAATATCCAATCAATTATTGAATATTTGATTATTGTTTTCTAAATTTGAATATTCAAAAGCAAAACTCATGAAAAGGAAGGGAGAATTCTCTTTTGTTTTAAATGAGAAAAAATGCACTATGGAGGCTTGTTTCAAGCAGATTCAAATCAGTGAAAAGCGACAGAAATCTTATGACTTAAAAAGTAAATTATTCATCCCCAACAGTTCTAAATCCTCTGATTTCAATATGATTTTAAATTCAACCTGGGGGTTAGGGTTAAAAAAACAGACATTTTCAACAGAGCAAGAAGTCTTGTTCATCTCTTAAATCTTGCAAATTCGTGGCTTGAGATACTCCTAAAAGTGAGAAGCTTTTATGGTAATTATTATGTACAACTGTGTGTGCTATGGCCATTGATTTTGTATATGACTTAATCATCAACAATCTGTGGGTTGGTAAGACCATATATTGTGATATTCAATCCAATTGAAATGTTGAATATTCAAAGANGTGAATTATTCAAATTGACTCAGCCCTAATTTCATCAATGTTTGAGCAATCCTTCCGTACCTGACTTGCATGGTTCTGATAGATTTGCTTCAGTGTGTATGCTATGGCATGGTCAGTATCGCTGATCCAAGCACTAGACAATTTCAGAACTGGATTGTTGGCATCCATGTACATCTGTCCGCAGCCATCTCTTACTTGCAGAATTTGGCTGTTGGAATCTCTGGGAAGTTTGTAAACAATAAACCTGGAAGGGGTGTAAAATAACTGAGTTTAGTAACATATACCTTGGCAGAAATTGGGATGACTTGTGGATGATACTGTTGGGGTGGGATACCATCTTGCTTTGCTTGTACCTACATTAAACATGAGTGATGCTGTCTCATAAATTGAGCAAATTTTCTGGGGAAGGTGCAACAAGATGGGAGATGGGTAGAAATGACAAAGGGTAATCTTTGGAGTTGATAATGTTGTACAAGTCAGATGAAAATGGTACAGGAAAAACACCGATTCTTTGGTGAGGAGAACAATATGCATTTCTGTTGACGGACATGTGACTTACCAATCAACTGGTTTCCCATTGGCATCCATACATGTCACTGCTGCATAACTGGTTCCCACCATTATGACAGTCAAGACAGTCACAGCCAATAATGTGAACATGATCACACTGCTACACATGATAACTCTCCAATAAATTCAGCCGAGATATTCTTGATGCTGAGGTGCCAAAATACATAGAATTTTCAAAGTTGACTTAAAATTAAATGATGCTGTAGTTTAAAATTGAAAATATGACGCTACATCACTTTTATGCCAACAATTATCAAGATATTCTCTTCCACATAATATCCTTCGATATATGTGTTTTAGTTCAACATGGTTCAACGGTGGAAACTCCAAACATGCCCCCCCAAAAAAACACATTAATGGCATGGTTCAAATCATATTCAAAGGGAAAACTGATATTTTTTGAAAAGCAGCAAATTTCAAAGAAACTGACAATTTTTGTGTATAACAGACATTCCAATCACTTAAATCTGCTATCAGGAAAAATCAACAACTATCTTTCAAGTTTCATCTCATAATTTCTAACAAAAATTCCCACTGGCACTAGGCCCTAGTACCCGGTACAACGAAAAGAAATTTGTGCAAAATAACTGGGATTTAGCCCTTTATTTAGTCTTTAATCATTTGCTAGAACTTTTTATACTTAGTTTCTTTCTTCAGAAATTCCCTTCAAAACGCTTACTTCTTTAAAATTAACGTCACACTCTCACATCACACCGTCGATAAACGCAAACTGTCAGTATGTAGGAAACGAAGTGGTCGAAAACCGAATAATTTCCTGAGGTAAAGCACACGAGTTTTCCCCCGTATATATGTACAACAGTCTCGTGACAGGGCTTTCATTGAAACTAAACAACTAATAAAAATTTCCCCGTCCCCTGCAAGAAAACACTGACCTCAGCTGCACTGTCTTCAATAACCCGCCTACGAAGACAACTTTCAACAGCTAGCTGGATATTAAATGAACAACGTGACAGGTGTCTTGTTCCTGTGTTCGCAATATGGTACCCTCACATACGAACAGACCATGTAGGAACCAGACTACAAATCTGAACTTTGGCTCACACAATAACAAAAGGTTATTTATAGATCTGAAACCGCGCGCAGCAGGCCTCGCGTGGCATGAATTAAAGGGGCACAGGCCGGGCCAGTAATCCTTTTTGATAGCTTCGTGACTAGACAAAGCCCACACTAACGAGATGCATGAATGCACTGTTATAAACGTCTCTCCAGTGACGTTCACCAATCCAGCAGCAGTTACAAGGTCTGGGTTTGAGCGATAAATACACGTAGATCATTGATTAATCCACTGAGATTTGCACAGAAATAGTTCTGTGGTTTGCGGTCGAATGTGGAGGTGGGCCAGCTAACCTTTCAACATCCAATATGCCAAGTGCAGACGCATTTTATAGTAACACTAATTGAATTCATTTTCATTCATATTTCTGCCTTTGAAAAAATAACCGGTTATTTTACAGTCACAAAGACCGAAAGATTAAGACACTAAACATGCTTTCTTTCCGTCTGGTTCGGGTAAACATGCCTGTCAAATCATGGAGGTAGAATCACAGTCAAATCATGACAAAAGGGCTAATGATTGCTTTAAACGTTCAGTCACTATCCAATCGGTCACGCGTTGATCACGCGCAGACCATGTGCATTCTATCGCAACAAAACGGGAAATTCAGCACAAGAAATGATCAGAGTCGACTTTCACACTGCTTCTGATTACTTTGCTCTTTAGCAAGATTTGCAAAACACTTGCTCGGACCATAGAGCTACATATGTTGGAGTGTTGGTGAAAACTGGAAAAACCCGCAGGTTCCCGAAGTGCAGGCATATTTCTTGAACATTCTACATATATAAACTAATCCGGTTTGATGTTAAACGCCTTATCTGCGTTGGCATCGCATTCTCACGCACAATCTTCAGCTTGACGCGCGCGTCCCTTTGTAAAATCACAACACCCTATTGGCCGAAGAGGCATATAAAACGCGCGTACCACCTGTCGACAAGCGTTGTGCCACGGCGCGGCAGCAACGGCTTCGGAATTCTGGTTGTCGAACTGCACTTTACAAGTGAACAAACCTCCTACAGATAAATATGGGCCTAAGGATTGAAACAGTAATATCGTTCCCAGCATAGTAGGCCTATTATATAAACGAAAACTTCCGAAAGTGAGAAGTTGTTCCTTTATTCCAAAAATATTTACACCTTTGCTTTTCAGAATACAGATCTGTAATGGAATACAAAACATGATTAATAAATACTTTCCTTCTATACATTAACAGAATACACACATACACACAAGTGAAAAATGGATAGAAATACACACCTAAGAAATACAAGAATTTATGAATACTGTCAAACGTAGGTAGTCGAAGGATGTAATTAAGAGAAAGTTGCTAGAAAATGCCCTTAAAGACCATGCGAATGACGCAGCAACACAAGTAAATTAACCAACATGGATACAATTTACAGAATCATTACGCTACCATTGACACTGCAAACACAGTGAGATTTTTTTGATAGCAAGCAAGGATAATTGTAATGATAACAAAACCTTGTGACAACTATAGTGACTACTTCCTCTTTTGTCTTCCGGTAACAAGCCCCTTTAAACTACAAGTACATAATTCGATACAGCATGTTTTAGAAACAATCTAAATGGGTACAGAATGTACACCAGAAACGCCTTGTTTTGCCGACATTGAACACCTCAAAAATGGGTTTATATTTCCAAAGCTAATATAATCAATTCTGAAACGCTTTTACAAAATGCTGATTTTTGGATTTGCAAATAGAAATTATTTCATAAGGAAAATATTGTATAAAATTTATACAAGACTTATTTGCAAGACATTATTCCATTTAAAACGTGTTTGATTTCAGATAAAAGAATTCTTGAAAAAGGCAACTTTTGTGGGTATGCCTTGATCTATTCCTGCTATTCATTTGCGCAACTTCTTCACAAAATTATGTAGTTCAGGTATATTTATAATGTTGAACAACATTGTGGAAAAATAGATAAAGTTGCGAAGGAAAAATGTCATTGATGGCCATTATTAACTTGCGACTTATGTGAGTTCTAACATTTTTGCCTAAAAATTTCAGGCATGCTGGTCAGGTTTGTACACGTGTGATCCAATGTGTCAAGTGAGGTTTGAAGAACAAAACAAAATCTGAAATCAAGGTATTGCAAGACTTACATCCTTGCTGCCTAACTTGAAATCGTTACCTTCAGCTTACCAAGAGCTTGGAATGGGGAAATTATTATGTCAATGACTCACCCTGCAAAGCAAAATAAACTGATTAAAAATCAAAATAAGTAGCATATTTCCTGTTTAAAAAGACAGCAACTTAAAAAATACCCTGTGAATGCTACATATTAATTGTAACCAGGAATAAAAACATGGAAAGCACAAAATGTTTCATAAAAGCCTCTTTTTCAAAAATATTAAGAATATGCCAAAATTTGGCAGCACATGGACAAATTTAGCAAGAACAAGGCACAAATTTCCATAAGTAAATGCTGCCGCTCAAATACAAACGATATGACATTAAGTACAAATGTTAATTTAAGAGTGGAATACGACCCATTCGTTGTATCATAATACAAATCCAGAGAATGTTGCTATTGGCAACGTTGTTAAATTGATCCTCCTCAAGGCACAAAATTCACAAATTTGGATCACAGGTGCAAAATAAACCAAGCATACTGTATGGCACACAGAAAAGGGAGAAAACTGTAGTAATCCATGTTTGTGTTTGTTATTGCTTCATGAAGAAAGGACTTTTACTGCTCAATTTGGAATGCTTCAGTGAATTTCCCACGGCAATTTGATTGCTATTGGTTTTTCAATTACTAACAAAGAACTACTTTAAGAAAGGCACAATTTAAAGGTACATTAAGCGCAGATACACACTGATAAAAGACTTTGTAAGGTCATTGTAACTCCCGTCAATAATGCACTAGGCATGAGAGTTAGTAGGTGAGCTAGGCTAACCACTTTGAAGGCCATTGCAACGTGCCTGACTGAGCCAAGTTAATCAATACATGGACACACATGTGTGAGTGTGTTAGGAGTCGTGCTGCCTCGAGCATACACTTTCTGGGTTACTTCAAACGTGCAAGAAGCATACACACTTAAGCAGCTTCAGCAGCTTTAGCTGAAGAAGTGTTTCTGCATATTTCAGGAAGTAGGAAGTGGCTCAGTTCTAAACACCTAAAACGAAACTAAAAATGTTCCATGGGATTTTTTTTCTTACTAAAGCACACACACTGTATAGTCAACTCTGGATATTAAGAACAGTGTTATAAAAATCTAATTCTCAGAGTTCAATCGCTTGATTTTTTTTTTGTCCTCTGTAACAAGGTTAATCCCTATGTCCCTGCATTAAACCTTGTTATAAAAGAGTTGACAGCATAAATCTGTTGCACGGCAAACTGCAATGCATATGTTCATAAATCTGATTAAATGTAATGATATTTCAAACATTCACTAGATAACACAATTATACACGTAAGTACAACCTCAGGAGCGGATGAGGGGTGTGGAGGGTGCACCCCCCCCAAATAAATAAATAAAAAGAGAAGAAAAAGACAAAGGGGGAAACAAAGTGGTGCACCCAGCCCCACAGATGTGGCAAAGGCATAAAAGGCAACAATTCTGCTGCCACTTACCTAACCTCCCTCCAGACGTGACACTAAACTTTTTAGTTCACAACCCCCCCCCGTCTGGAAAATCCTGGATCCACGGCCCCCTTTTGAAAAATTTGGATATACCCCTGAAACTGGACCAAATTGGAAGTCCTACAATAAAGAAAACCACAAAGTGAAACACAGACACCACAACTTATCTGAGGGTCCTGGAAATAAAAACTAGGAATAAAACAGGAATATTTCACAAAACGTAGACTTTTCATGGCAGATTATTTCTCCCTTTGATTCTGAGAAATGACTGGTAATACCTCTCCTTGCTAACTCTCCCAGAAACCAACAGCTCCTGAAAGGTCAAAGGACACCTTTCCCACATCCACTTCATCTTTATACCTAAGATGACATTATCTCCACTTTTTTCCATGTTCAGTAACTTAGTCTCAGTGTAAAAATGAGTGACTTTGCTTCTTGTAAATTCAGAGGATTGTCGAACTCTCTGCGTTGTTAACAGGTTGTTTGGTATTACTTTGCCAAACACTTCAAATCTGAATGGAAGTATAAGGAATGTGTGTGGAGCTTACTATTCAGATCATGTTGTCAGAGTTGATTCAAATACACTGAGTCTGAGTGAGAAGTTGGCTCCTTACAAAACCCGAGGCATGGCCTCATCTTATTCCTCAGTTGCTAGGTTACCATGTCTTCTCATATTAACCTTTCATCTGTCTCCAGATCAAAGGTTGCCATGGGCATTCCTCCAGCTAATTCCTCCTTTGCTGGGTTATATTTGCCTTTCATCTTGCGTGATTGCTTGAGGTACCACCAGATGTAGACGGCGGCGCAGGCCAACAGGATGGCTAAGATGACTAAAGGTATGATGACTTGGATAGGCTCAATCTGCCTCCCTGCTGTAACTTCACAGAAATCTCCTGTAGGAAGGAAACGAAATTGGTTAGAGTAACTCACACTATTCCACAAAATACACAGTCATGTAAAAGATTACCATACATACACAAGTCCCAGCAAGGAATGGATTAAACAAACACAAAGTAAGAATAAAAACGTCATTCTTAAGGACTTGGAACCTTAATGTAGATGTCTGCTTGTGTTTCACATCTTAACTCTTAAATTTATTCTGTCTTTACACAGCCCATTTGTTTGAGACTTTGTGTGTGCATGTAACTGTTGAAAGGAGCCACATCTTACCCAAATATTCCTTGCTGCATATACAGGTGTAACTGCCAATTGAGTCCTGGCATGTTCCACCATTCAGACAACGATGAGAACCAGTTACACATTCATCAATATTCTCACTGCAAATGGCTCCCTGGTACCCCGTATTGGTGCAATTACAAGTGAAGCCGTTGACCTTGTCCGTGCAAGTGCCGTCGTTTTGGCATGGATTACTTGCGCATTCATTAATATCTGTCTCACAGAGTGTGCCATTAAATCCATCGTTACAGCGACATTCAAAGAATGGCCGGTTGTTGATACAGCGAGCACCATTCATGCAAGGGTTATTGATTAAACATTCATCGATATCCTCTGTGCAGAACTGTCCAGTGAAGCCGGTACCCGTGCAGTTACACTGGTGAGAACTGGGCACATTGATGCATTTACCATTGTTGTAACAAGCGTTGGGATTAGTAACACATTCATCAATGTCTTGATCGCATAGTAATCCTTCATATCCAGTGTTGGTACAGTTACATTCAAATGCTATTGAACGCAAGGTGCAGGATGAATCTCGTTGACAAGCTTGTCGTTGGCAGGCCTCGTCTTGTCCACAATTAACAGCTTCCTGGGGGAGAACTGGGCAGTCACATGGTCCAATGTAGTCACATGACCCACCCTGCAGGCATGGGTTGCTATGACAAGCATTGATTTCATCGGAGCAATACTCGCCTCCAAAACCCAAGGTACAGAGACACTGTATTCCGAGGCCAGGGCCAATGTCGACACACTGTGCCCTATTTTGGCATAATGACTGTTGGCAAGTTCTCGTGTCTAGCTCGCAATTGGTACCATTGTAAGGTTGAACGCAAACACACGTGTAGGCGTTGATTTGATCAACGCACCGACCTTGATTCAAACACGGACTACTCTCACATTCATTAATATTTGTCTCACATAGTGTGCCAGTGTAGCCTGCAACACAAGTGCACTCATACCCAGGGAAGTTGACGTCTCCCACTAAATATTGGTTACACTGTCCACCGTTCATACAGGGATTAGAATCACACTCGTTTACATTAATCTCACACAATGAACCTATGAAACCAGCAGCACAGGTGCAAGTGAAGTTAACCTCGGGCATAGATGTGTCATGGAAGCATGTCGCACCATTTAAACATTGATTCACTTCACATTGATCAATTGGTGTTTCACAATTCACACCTTCGTAATGTTGAGTACACGTGCATGTGTAGTCACTCATACTCCGGGCGCACATCCCACCATGTTGACAGGGATTTTGAAGACAGCCATCAACAAACTGACACAAGTTACCATAAAACCCTCTCAAACAATTACAAGTATAATTTGTCCCATTCCGTACGCATGCGGCTCCATTCAAACAATCATGTCTGAAGCACGGATTGTAAATTTCACAATTCGTTCCTTCGTAGAAATCTGGGCATGCACACGTGTAAACGAGATTGTCAGCAGTCTGCGTACAGGTAGCTCCATTTTGACAGGGATTCTGGGTGCATAATCTGTTATCCTGAGTACAATTCTTGCCTTCAAATCCTGGCACACATGTACAGGTGTAATCTAATGGGAACACAGGTTGACAAGAGAGGGCATTCTGTACATTGCAAGGCTGGGTGTCACAGACATTGATTTCAATGTCACAGAGGTCACCAGTCAGTCCAGCCGGGCAGAGACATGTGTAGGTCATGTGACCATCTTGACAGGTGGCATTATTCATACAACGGTTGCCTGAAAACAATATGACAGGGAAAAATTGTTATTAAAAAAGAAAAATCTTCAACAATGGCACAATTCCTAACTATAGCATGAAATCTAAATCACAGTGGTTATTCTCTAAAAGCAAAAACAATGGAAATATGAGATTGAAAACAATATAAAAACAACAAGGTCGACAGAAAACTTAAACCTTTCATGGAAATTTAAAGGTCGACATCTACAGTGGAATGGCGCTATACCAAACACCGCTATACCGAACACTAGGCTGTACCAAACATCAACCTTGGCTCCCAATATTTTGTGCACAAAACCTACCGAACATTATGCAATTGCAAATCAACCGAGATAGGCCACAGCATATATCAGAGATCGATCTTGAGCGGTAGCTTCACGACTTTTAGGATAAATTAAATATCAATTTTGTAACTCAAGATTTCATGCAAAAACAAAAATAATTAACAGATACATTTCTAGAAACCTCAAACTAGAATGCAACGGCAAAACATCACGAAAACAGCGAGTCATAGTATCACAAGAGGGTGCACTTCAGTTAGACAAGAGAGGGTGCTATTCAACATGGCAACAAAACATTCGGCAGTTAATTTCGCTATACCGAATGACCGCTGTACCGAACATTTAGCGTGGACCCTGTCATGTTGGTTATAGCGGCGTTCCACAGTATCAAAATAGGACAAAGAATAAAGTTACTCAACTATTAGCTTCATTCAAATGTAATCTCACCTATACAATCGTCTATACTCTGATTACACTGCACTCCCTCCCAACCCTCAAGGCAAATGCAATCAAAGGCATTCCAAATATCCACACAGAATGAGTTGACAGGACAGGGGTTAGGATTGCAGACATCCACACTTGTGCAACCATAGGTGATCTGTCCCCTAGGGCTGCTGATAGCAATGCCAGGTTGTGGAGAGTTGGTGGATAGGTAGTGGATGCGTTGATTGTTGAAGTAGAGATTGCGGACACAGCCTTGAAGGGTTTGAGCTGCTGCAGAGCCTGGAAAGAAAAAAAGAAAAAAATTCAGTTTTTGTGATTCCAAGGTAGTGTGTTTGATAATGTTGAGAGTGGAATACTAGTGGAAATGTAGTGGATGCGCTGAATATTTTAGTGGAGACTGTGGACAAAGTCTGGAATGGTTTGGACTGCTGCAAAACCTAGTTAGAAATAGGCAGAAATAAAAGAGTTTGGTCATAAAAAGTTGTTATTATGTATGATAATGTTAAGCATAAAATGACAGGGAAATATTTGCAGACGTTGTGGATTGGCTAATTCTAAAGTAGAGATATGGAACACAGCTGTAACGGCTTTTGCTGTTTTATAAATGACATCAGTACATTTTTCCAATATTGAAGTTCCACTACGTTTCTTACCACTGCCTGTGTCCGCTGGGCCGCCTACCCATATCTCCACTGTGGCACTTCTGTCCACACTGTGCATAGGGAAGTCACCTGATAACATAAACTGCTGCCCTCTGTAGTTGACCATGATGTTACCACGGTGGCGTGTCCATGACAACTGTTGCCACTCGGCATCAGATGCATTGGTAGTGATTGCCAGCACACTTTCAGCTGAATCACAGGAGAGACAGACTTTTCATATTAAATCAGTCGATTTGAAATGTGAACAGAACAACTTTATGTTGGGTTTCCAGCTGGCATGTACACTCAACATGGAGCATTTCTCATGGATATAGGTTAGCGAGATCTTCTCTCACGATAGGATTGGTATCAAAGTTGTTGAGGGCGCTACACAGACAAATCGAGGACCCTAAAGCAGAGTAAAGCAACCCTTGACATTCTCATTTCTTGTGTGCTATATGGAGTTTTCTCACTACTCACCGATTCCAAACTTTGTTTCCAATTGCAGAGCTCCTGATGTCTGATCTAGACCGAGTAACATATGATCCACTCTGGTGTTGGTCTTACTAAACAGTCTAACCAGCATAATCACACTGTTCATATCACGAGTACGGAAACTGATACCAAACTGATCCCCGAAGCTGACGAGCTGAGTATCGACAATCAGACGAAGACTGCTATCCATGCCATTAAACGTTGAGGCACTCACTACATTGAAGATTAAAATGGTTCAAAACTCTTGTCAAATACTTGATGATAAGTCCGAATGCTTTGAAAGTGTGCAATCATTTTATTGGAAATTTCTTTCAAGAAAACTTGAAATCATTTGGGAATATGTAATGCAAGTGATATCAGAACACTTTATGATGGTATTCATTCAGGGAAACAATTAATTCTGTGAATAATGAGAAGCAATTTGGCATTAGAATCTCAAATATTCCTTACCTTCTTCACAAGTTGTCCCAAAGTAGTCGGCAGTGCATTGACATTCGAACCCATTCCATCCTGGTATACACACTCCATCATTGTAACAAGGCTGAGGAAAACACGTCTCTTCACGAGGGCAACCTGGATCAGCGACCTGTGGGTCAAGAGTCAACTCATAGGCTGAAGACCTCTGGAGTTCAATGTTGACATCGTTGATGTAGACATCTCGAATGCAACCTGTAAAACTGTAGACAACAGAGACACAAAATTAAAATTGCTGAATATCCATAAAGAAATCAACCGCTGCAGCGAAGTATGTGTCTACAGCTGTCAAACTTTAAAAAACGCTAAAACTCTGGGTTTTGCTTTGTTCATTTGCATACATGCTTGCCCCTCTTTTAATGTATCCTCAAACTGGCATTTGGCCTTACTACAAAGAAACCCTATATAAGAAACAAAACTTGAGTCAAAAATCCTTCTGGTTGTTTGAATAACCTAACTAATGCGATGCATTACCTTTGTGTAACTTGTAGTGTATCTCTGAGAGGCTGGAATGTAGGGTTTTGGTGTAGTGTACCAAACAAAATAGGCAAGTTGAGTTGAATAGAAGGAGGTGCAAGGAGAGTACCTGTGTACACCTGACCTGTTGCCTCGTTAGTCACTGAAAATTAATTGGAACATTGTTATTGAGATTAATAAGATACAAATATAAAAATATTTCCACATGCAAACTTCTAGTCAACGTTAGCTATGAATACCATTTAATAAATCAATGAGATAGGAGCATCTCATCATTTTACTGTCCATTTAGATCAATTCTTTCATTAGCAAGTACCTTGAATGGTAAGTTGAAATCCATTGATGGTTAGTCGGACTTGATACCAATCACCGTCAGCTAGGTTCATGCCAGCTTCAGCTGCTGACACACCACCTAGGACTAATATCTCTACCTTGATGGCATGTCTGTCCATTAAGACCACTGATATACCTGATGGCTGAGAGGAGATGAGAGAATGTGAAATGAGGAATAAGGTCAAAGAAGTTAGAAATCATTTCATAAGGAGCCATAAAGACCAATTACCAGTAATATGGTAGTTTCTTTAACTTCCATTTCTGAGACCCATGTTCGAATCCAGCTAATGCCAAAACAAAGATTGGATTGTCAGTGTCTACCCAATTCCCGGGGAAATTTGTCCACCATGTTATATTTGAAACGATTAATATTCCTGGCAATAGGAGATGAAAAAACCCTCATTACCATGTACATGATGAGACCAGGTTGTGCATTAGCAGCACTGAAAGCAAACTGAATGCTGGTGATCGGATCATCCGGAACGACTCCTGAAGCAAAATGGAGGAACTTCTGAGGGGTGAAGCTTGCCAAGGTCTGTATGTCGCATTGGCGACCTCTGAACCCGACCCGACACTCGCAGGTGTAGTTGGACCAGAGGTCAACACAGAGAGCACTATTCATGCAGGGATTGGGAAGGCAGTGATTAGAGTAGGGACAGCCAGGGGCGAGGGGCGGAACAGCTTGGCTTGTGGGGGCGGACAGGCTTACAAGTGCATTGTTGATGTTCAAATTCTGTGTGAGAAACAAAGTAGGACAAATTTAGGAACTTAAAAAGGAATTCTAATTTAACTGTTACACTTTCAGTTCCAAATGTTAAGAATATTTTAGAAGATGTTTACACTTTATAACAGAGCATCATTTACTTATGAATATTCGTGGTGAGACTAACCTCTAGGCAACCAATGAAATTTTCTGTTGTCTTCAACTTTGACACCATGTAAGGTGTGACATCAGGCCCAACACCACCGATGTAAAGCGGTCCATTTAATTCAAGCTCCCCACCTGCAGCAGAGGGTTCAAGACTTGCCACACAATCTGACCCACACTGCCCATCATCAACAGCAATTCCAGCAATCAGGTTGACAATGCTGACTGAGACTTTGTGCATACGACCATCATTGAGTCCACTGCCCAACATCGCTGACAGCGTCTCCGAGCCAACATTGATGGAGACATAGAGGGTGCCCTTGTATAGCTCAATTGCAAGATGGTCAATACGTCCAGTGGTTTGGATCTGTTGACAGCAACAAGATTATGCCTTCAGCATCACAGGCAATTATAAGCCGTTATTTACTGTGGTGTAGCTAACCAGGTTCATTTATAGGTGGGGAAAATTACTAACCTCAACTGTGCATGCACGCTGCCAATACATTGCTATTATTCAAATCTAACTTGCAAAGAAAAAAAATTAAACTTACCCCTTGATTGTAGATAAGAATTCCATTTAGAATGGTTGTCACAAACTCCAATGATACAAGCATCTGAGTGATAGCCCGTCTCTTCCTACCTTGACCCCCTATGCCTGCAGTGTAAGCGGCCAAGGGTGACAACTGCAATGCACCATTACCTGCAAAACTGGCTTGTTCCACTGTGCCACAGGTAAGGCCAGAGGTTCCTGGAACAAATGCAGTAGAGCACTGATGTTTAATTTTAAGTTTTCCCATCACCATTGTGATGGGGAGGCATGTGGCCTGGTGTTTAGAGTTTGTAGCTTCTGATCATAGGGTCAGGGGTTCGAATCCAACTGGTGGCAGCATGTTGTGATCCTGGGCAAGTCACTTTACCCCCATGTGCCTCTCTCCACCCAGAAGTAAATGGGTACCTGTCAGGGCAGACACGGTTATTTAGCCCTTTGCGCCAAAATGGCAGCACCAGGCTAGTATATTCCCGGGAAGATGAGATGGTTTCAGGAATGTTCAGATGATGTGTGAGCCCAATGTACAGGGATAATGATAATACAGCGCCTCGGAATAGTTTGTTAGATAGAGGGCGCTTTACAAGTGCTTGTTGTTATTGTTGTTGTTATGTAGCAATGAATAATATTTATCAATATACATGTGGCAGTATTCTCTTTCGTAACTCCTAACAAAACTAAGCCATGAATCTAGAATTCTCACCTTGGGGGCAAACACACCGGTAGGTATCAAGGGTTGGTTCAGTACACTCAGCTCCATTCTGACAAGGATTAGATGCGCACTCCTGGATATCAATGTCACAGTTATAACCTACAAAGACAAATAAAATCAGGTTTGCTTGAAGAAGTTCTCTTTAATGGATAGAGGTAAAAGGTAAAAAGGCAATCTGAATTGGAAAACAAAAACCTTCAGATGTTTTCAATTGTTTGGGATCCTTACCTTCATATCCAGCACTGCAGGAGCAATTGTAGAAATCAATGAAGTCAAAGCATTCTCCATTAATGCATGGATTGGAAGCACATTCATTAATGTCAAACTCACAAGCAATGCCTGAAAAATGGAAGGAAAAATGAGAGCAAAAAAAAAAACACCAAAAACGAAACCAAAACGTAATTTGCTGAGAAACAGCAAAGTTTGTGAGGAATGAGTCTACCTTGTTTTCCTGCTGAGGTATGAGATCTTGAGGAAAAAGTTTGCATCATGCTGAAAAGCATTCATGAATTATTCTGTCAACCAAAGACTGTAATATGTGAGGGGTTAAATCTTTGAATGTTGCATTACTGATCAGCGATGTCAGTCCACAGTGCTTAATATTACCTGATATGATTGTGTCTTTGACAGAAACTGACAACATTACCTGTGTATCCTGCTGGACAGAAGCACTCATAGGCATTGATGAGATTGGTGCAATTTCCACCATTCAAACACGGACTGGAGGTACATTCATCTATTTCAGTCTCACAGTGTGTTCCTGGAGAATTATAAATATTTATTAGCAACCATGAATATTCACTCTGACTCCATCATACATAAAAATATTAATAACAATGAGTTGACACTGTGAAAATATAAAAACCAGGGCAAATGAAACTATTTCTTAGAAAACATTTTTTATAAAACAAAGAACTTGTTGGGCATTTGTCCCAGTGATAAAGGCACTGTTAATGCCAATTTCATCCAAGTTGACATCTTATTTACCTGCAAATCCCGGTGGGCAAATGCACAGATAACTGTCCACCAAATCCTGACACGTGGCATTATTCAAACACGGATTGGATCTACACTCATCCGTGTTGAACTCACAGTGCGTTCCATTATATCCTTCTGCACATGTGCAGTTATAACCGTTGACAAAGTCATTACAAGTCGCATTGTTCTGACAGGGAGTCGAGATGCATTCGTTGACTTCAGACTCACAATGGTTACCTAGGTAAAGAATATTAAACTTGTATTGTATTAACTGTCCAATATTTCCTAAATGTTTAAGTATTTAATTTCTGAAATAAAACTCATTTCAGACTTACATGTTTCGTTAAGAAAACAGACACACTGAGCAAGGAATTTACAAAATATACTTTGAGAGGATAAATTCATGTGATACATTGGCTCTACATTTTCACTGAACTACGTAGATAGGCAATTGTTGCGTACAGAACTACAATGGAAGATTATTTCAGAGTAATGTGAATCCTCAAAGCTTTGGAAAACTTGCTTTTAAGGGGTTGGGGTGTTCTGGCAGAGAAATCAAGATAGGGGTAGGATTCAGAGAAAGCTAAAATTGGAATCTGCTTTCAACCTTGGTAGCCTGATGCACAAGCGCATAGATAGCCAGCCACGATATCTTGACATTGTGCACCATTCTGACATGGTGCAGAGTCACATTCATTAATCTCTGCCTCACAACGAGGGCCTTCAAAACCGATGGAACAGTTGCATAATGGGTCAGCACCAGCCTGAAAAGAAAAAAAAAATGGCTAATACGACACAATGCAAAAGCAACTCACAAGTCATCATTTATTGACAATGTGTGATAAAAGAATTGCTCAGACAGACTGGGTGATATAATGTTACTGGCATTGTCAATCAAGGCTGTGACAGGGTTCAAACCTCAACACGACTGATACAGGTTTCTTATCTCTGCTGTATAAGAATAAATCAAATTATCTGTCTAAGAATTCACAATTCTTCCTTGCTTGTCACCAAAAGATCCAATCGGGCTTCTATACCAGACAAGGTTGAGAGCATGTCAATGGCCTAAGACTGATGTAACACATCAGAGAATTACCACATGATGCTGAATACATCAAATCACTGCTATGGAAAGAGACATTTAAGCTGTGATCAAAGTACTTGGCTATGGCCAAATATAACACATTCATATGGAAGAGGCTGAATTGACTTCTCATTTAAGCATGTGTTGCTGTTAGCCACAGCCATGTCTTTCAAACAAAGCCACAGTCATGATTTCACCAACCTGTTCGATACAGACTCCTCCATTCCTACATGGTGGTGGCATAGCTTGACATTCCAACACATCAATCTCACAGAGATTCCCGATCCAATAAGGCTCAACACAAAAGCACTGGAATGAGCCTGGTGGACTGTTGACACACAGAGCGCCATTCAGGCAGGGATTACTCAGACACTCATTGATATCTTGTTGGCATTGGGTACCTGACCATCCATCCGGACAGTGGCAAACAAAACCTGTAGAGAAGTATGTTTGAAATGTCAGTGTTTGGAATGAAGTACAGCAATCTTGAAGCTCTTCTTGGGGACCGAAGTCTAAGATGGAGACAAGACAAGCATGCAACTTGGACTTTGACAAAAAAGCAAGGAACTTCCAATCTTTACAAGACTTTGTACAATGTTCTTCAATTTTCAAAGGCATAAATGTGAAGCGAAAAAAGAGGAAATTAGTTGATTCAAGGAAAAGTTGCATGCCTGACAATACCAAACCACTGAGTTGAAGAGAAAGAGAAACGTTTGTATTTTGTTCTTGTCCAGTTGGTTTGAGGTGCTTACCTTGGTTTGTATTTTCACATGTTCCTTGATTCATACATGGCCCAGACAAACAACCTTCCTTGAAGATTTCACAGAAACTTCCAATGTACTCATCGGTACAGACACAGGTGAATCCATTGGTTCCGTCAGTGAATTCAACACAAGTGCCATTGTTAAGACAAGGACTGGAACGACAGTCATAAATATCACCCTCGCATTGTGCACCTGAGGGAGAGGTCAAGGGTAAAAAATCAGGTTTGATGTCTGCGTGGCTGTCTGTACTAGTTACATGTACCTGCTGGTCATGTGACTAACATCGCAGGAAGTCAAGTGACTAAATGGATCATTTCCAAGATTAAGACCAAAAATACCAATTTTCTAAACCTCAAAGAGCCAGGTTTTTCAAAAATGGTAGTTTTCTAGAGCAGAGCAGTGGCATGAAACTAATTGGGATGGTGAACATTTCTCTCTGAAACATTAAACCAACTCTATCAGTGCTATAGATTTAAACCCACATGAAGGACAGTGACCCAAATGAAAGGACAACGATGTTGGCTTTGCTGCTGTCGAGATACACCTGTTTTTCTCCTTGGCATTTCCCCACTAATACCCAGACTAGCATCCTATCAGGTCAATGGCTTAGTTTCAGTCGATGCTTTGTCATGTGGGTTTCCTCAGAATCATTTCTTGCAGGATTTCCTGACATGGTTAAATCTGATACTTCCTCCCTCCTCTTACACCGACATCTTTCCACTTTCCAGTGGTCAGGATGACGAAATGAAGAGAAGGGCAAAGGAAAAGAGGAAGAGAGATCACAGATGTTTCAAATGAATTCTGAAATATCCCAACAGGGTAACCTCAGACGCTGTTTCCCAATACATACAGTTGAAGATACATTTGTGGTCTTGTGGTCAATGTTACAAGCATGCAAGTTTGGGACAGGAAATTAGATAATAAGCTTCACGGATGACAAACCGAACCAAAGACAATAAAATATTGGATATGTTTACCAGTGAATCCCTCAGCACAGAGGCATGTGAATAGCAGCGTAGCACTTGGTACCCTGCTGCATGTCCCACCGTGGAAGCAAGGTTGAGGATCACATACGTCAATGTCTATCTCACAGTTGATTCCCTGGTACCCTGAGCCGCAGAGGCAGCTATACTGGAAGTCACCGTCAACGCACACACCACCATTCATGCAAGGTGCACTCAAGCAACTGTCGATGGGTACACTGCAGTTAGGACCTTCCATGCCAGTTGGGCACTCGCACCTTTAACATTCACGTAAAAAATCATTTTAGAAAACATTAAAAAATAGAAAAAAAAATTATTTAAAATGTCATTATTGATAGCGTTCACAACCTGTGTATGGACAATGACGTGTTTATAGAAGAATGCTGTTTTTCCCCCTTTCCCAATGTGTAAACATTTCTCACACTTTTCCATGTTTTTTAGCCTCTATTCGGACGTAATCCCTCTGGTTCGGCAGCTGCAAAACCTTGTAAAAAGAATCTTTGTATGAATTTTTAAGTAATACAGTTAAGCTAGCAACATGACTAAACTTAAATACACTCAAAGCGCTTTTTAATAAAAATAAACAAACAAACAAACAAACAAACAAACAAACAAACAAACAAACACTACCTCTACAGCTACTCAATTACATGGAAGACTTAAAAAGTACCTACTGCTCACTGTCTTACCTGAATCCATTGACTAGATCCAAGCAGACTTGATAAGCTTGACATGGTGTGTGTAGCTCACATTCATTGATGTCATTCTGACAATTGGTTCCACTATAGCCAGGTTGACAGGTGCATTCGTATCTGCCAACTTCTGGTTGTTGACAGTAACCATTGTTACCACATGGGAAACTAGCACACTCATTAATGTCGATCTCGCAATTTATTCCGTCAAACCCTGCAGGAGTTTAAAATAGTTATGTAAATTGAATCATAAATTTTGGTCGCTCAGATTCAAATTGAGATGGGTGACATATAAAGATCTTCAGCACATACCTGGTAGGCATGTGCAGACATATCCATTGACAAAGTCTCCACACAGCCCATTATTTTGACATGGATTTGAACCGCATTCCAAGACCTCAAACTGGCATGAATCACCGTGGTAACCAGGGGTGCAGTAACACCTATGACCACCTGGAAAAGAGAAATGGTGATATGGTTAGTGGAGGGTCAATTGGCTTCCACCATCATGACCTGGGTCTGACAACCACTCAGAATAAAGTCATCAACTCACCACGTAGGATACACTATCTTGAAATTTCTCACCAAGAGCTTCACTAGTTCTTCACTAAATCTTCACCTTTTTTGACCAGTGTTCGAATCCCACTTAGGCTGATAGATATGATGTGGTTTGCATTGCTAATGCTAATCCTGTGTTAAGGTGGCTAAGCTTTGAATCCCATTCATGAACATCATAGTTTAATTCTGGAGTAGTATCTCACCTGTAGGATTTTCCACACAAACAGAGTTAACACCACAAGGGTTAAAATTACACTCTCTGATAATAGCTTCACAGTGAACTCCCAGGAACCCCTCAGGACATTGACAGGTGTAGCCATTGGCTAAATCCTGACAGGTGCCTCCAAAGAAACATGGCTGGCTTTGACACTCGTTAATGTTCTGCTCACAGGTTTTGCCTGTAAAACCTGCAAAGAGAGATGAAAGAATGAGGAGTAATCGCTTACATCACACGTGCCTGAAATAAAAAGAGCCTTATAAGGCGTGAGGTATGAGGTAAAACTACATCATAGCAATATGACTTCAACAATAGACTTGATCTCGCCATCTCTTTTGGTAGACTGTACAACCCTGATGAAACACTGCATGATCACAACAACTACCTTAATGAATTTTCTTAAAAAGTCGTCTCCAACTGAACATGAATATGTGATGTCATTTCACAAGACCAACAGGTACATTTCCTAATCAACAAACCAGTTAATTCACAATTAACTAACCCAATTAACCCCCATCTCTGAGCATTTTTCTGGGCACCTGAATCCTCCAAAATTCACCAGTGTCCAATAACTAATGGTACATATCCATCCTGTTTGCTTCAAGTAATTAAAAAAGAGCTTCCAGTCAAATATAATGCACAAGATGAACCATAACTTCCTTAATCCTCCAAAATCCTCCCAAATCCTTCAAAACCTCTCAGAGGATTTCAAAGGATCTGGACAGATTAGGGGATTAGTCAATGATATTCATCAATAGACACAAGAAACGCCTCTTACTGACCAGGGAAACATCGGCAGTTGAAGTCTCCATATGTGTTCTCACACACCTGTGTCTGCGTGGGATGACACAGACTTGGCTGAAGCAGGCACTCATAGACGTCAAGCTCACAAACCTGACCTTGGAAGTTACTGGGACACTCACATCGGAAACCATTGACCAAGTCGATACACTGTCCACCGTGTTGACATGGTAATGACAGGCAATCATCAATGTTGATGTCACAGATATTGCCAGTCCATCCCGCAGTGCAAGCACAGGTGTAAGTGTTACGGCCATCGATACACAGAGCATTGTTTTGACAGTTGTTATTGGGGAGACAATCGTTGACTTCACTCTGACAGCGGACTCCTTCGTATCCTACTGCACATGTGCAGTCAAAGCCGTTGAATCTGTCTTGGCACACTCCTCCGTTGAAGCAAGGTTGTGACTGGCATTCATTAATCTCTAATTCACAACGTTGCCCCCCGTAGCCAGTGACACATAAACAGCGGAAGGCATTCACGAGGTTCAAGCAGGTTCCGCCGTTCACACATGGTGATGATGCGCACTCATTAATGTCTACATCACACAGCAAACCGGTATACCCGTCCCTACAAAGACACTGATAACTATTAACTCCATCCACACAAGCAGCCCCATTGACACACGGTTGGCTTTGACAATCATCTATATTCACTTCACATCTGACACCTGTGAAGCCAGTCAGACATGTGCAGGTAAACCTGCCCAAGAGATCTGTACACTGACCTCCGTTAATGCACGGATTACTGAGACATTCATTGACCTGTGTCATGCATCGTGACCCTTCCCAGGCAGCAGAACATACACAGATGAAGGAATTGTTTCCATCTACACACTGTCCTCCGTTCATACATGGTGATGAGGCACACTCATTTATGTTGATTTCACAACGAATGCCTTCAAATCTGAAAGGTCAAAGGTCGGGAGAATTACAAGGATAAGAAGTTTCCTAACACCTGCAATGTGACCAGTTACTTACTTGAATTACCGATAAAAATAAACCTGATAAATATGTCAGAAAAAACAAAATTTCCCTTATATTGAAATTACTTTTGAAGCATCTATTGACAGGTTTGAATATTTCAAAACCAGCAGTTACTTGAAGCTTCAATCTAAACTGAAGGTAAAGACAGTAATGCTCTTCAATTATCTAAAATAAAGGAGTAAAAATAATTTGCCATAAAAATTAACACTGTTGAAAAGAAACTAACACACGATTGAAAAATGAAATACTGATAATACATAATAGGGGTTTAACTGTAAAAGATTTTCAAATTATAAGTAATTGAAACCCTAAAAAGAAAACAAACAGGCCAATCACAAATCTAATTTGTCCAACTTACCCTGCAGCACAACGGCATGTGTAACTATTCCTCCCATTCACACATAATCCTTGATTCATACATGGGTTTGATAAACACTCATCAATGTCTTGATCACAATTCTGCCCAGTCCATCCCGAAGGACAAAAACAGGTGTACTGGTTGATACCGTGGGTGCAGCTAGCACCGTTCTGGCAGAAGCCTAAGGCACATTCATCAATGTCCTGCAAACAACGAACACCTTCCCATCCAGGGGCACATGAGCAGGTGTAACTGTTAACGGCATCGTTGCAGGTGCCACCGTTAGCGCAAGGTGCAGAGACACATTCATCAATGTTCATTCCACACAAGGGACCTGAATGGGGTGACAATACCAAGGAAAGGCCAGATCAGATTTGCTACCTGTTTATGAAAAATGTTTCTTTCCTGCATTTCCTGTTCATACCTTTCATTCCTCTGATCCATTGCTAATTAATCATATACATGTATCTTTAACTTCAAAAATGAATTACAATGAAAAGTTCTATTTCAGCACTATGTCATTATTTATTAATGGATAACATATAATTGTATTAATTACAATAAATAATTTTAAGAATCCTACAAAACCAATTTGATTTACAAGTTGAGGTTTAACTTTTCAACTCCAAATGTTGATATATGATTCCACTTGTTTTTAATTTACTGACACAGTGACTTACAAGTAGTTCCTATTTCAATTTATGCTAAAACTGACAGAGTAATAGGTCCAAGACAGGCTAACAGAGCTATGGCTGCGTCTATTGTCTGCCCACCTCTGTGCATCTCCAATGGAGTAAAGTCATACTCATAGACCTAGCTCTACACAACAAATTCGGATGCAGCCATAGCAACAGATGAGACAAGCTTACCTTGCCAGCCTGGCGTACAAAGACAGTCATAATGATTGACAGCATCTCTACAAGTAGCGTTGTTGAGGCAGGGACCAGACTCGCATTCATCAATGTCAATCTCACAGTTAGCACCAGTGTAGCCTAGAGACCAAAAACCAACAAATAAACAGAAAAGTTATCAGTTATCCCTCTGTATCCAAGAAAATGAGACTTAAATTTGATAATTTGCTTCACTCAAACTGAGAGTTTGAACCAAACCACATTAAAGGAATTTTTTCAAGTTAACATTAACAAGTTTGGCTATTAGAAAGCTGAGTATTTTATGGTTAAGTCAAAGTTATGAATACTACATTTTGTGTAGGGCATAATAGCAAAGTGTAGAAACTGGAAATCCCTCATGAATATCAACAATCTACGTGTATGTACTGTAAAAATTCTCTGCAAACTGAACTGTAATTTTATAAATGCATATGTAGTTAAAATTCCTTGATGAAAAAAATGGTCATGGAAGTACATGAATCTGATTGTGACCAGAAAGTTGCACAGATTTGCTTCTGAGGATAAATGTAGTCCACACAATCGAGCAGGGACTGATTGACCAAATGATGTACCAAGTGAGATTGGACAGATAATACAAATGCAGGTGCGCCATTGTTGGTTTATAACTCAAGCCTATACACCAGTACAAACCTGGTTGACAGATGCACTGGTATGCAGCTACCATGTCCCGACATTCAACTGCATTGATACAAGGGTTACTCTGGCATTCGTTAATTTCTGTGTCACACAGAGTTCCCTCGTAGCCGTCTGCACATGTGCAGTTGAACCCTCCGAGGAAATCGATACACTGAGCACCATTCTGGCACTGGTTTGGGATGCAGTTGTTGGGTATTGAACAATTCTTGCCTGAAAGAATGATTTTGAAAATCTTATTTCAGTTACAACACCTCAGACATTTTTGGAAAGCAACCTTACTTGAAACTTTCAAAACCAAAGTCATAACTTTGTCACATATCAAGTCAATACGGCTGTTTATAAGGGAGAACACTGGATGGAGAGGAATTGCATGTTAAGGCTCCTGTAAATTATCTCCAGACTTGACTGAAAAATGTGACCGACTGGACTATATTAAACCGTGTCTTGTAGTAAAATACTGGCAGACATTGACCGGTAAAGTCATCGTACCACGCAGATTAAAGCTTATGACCGGACGAAACCGAGACAAAAACGTGGTGAGAGAAATCTTATGCAAAGAAGGGGAAATGGGTTTTGCACTAAATTTCCGTTCAAATCAAAGAAGGGAAAGTTTTAAATCTTGTCCAGATAATGAATTCAACCTCTACAAATTGTCCAAATCTACTGGAAATCAACTTGGTGACTAACATTTCATATGTACATGTACATTGGTCATTCCATGAGGATGGGGCACAATTTGTGACGGTGTCCATTGTTACATGGGTTCCATAAAGATGAACAGTTATTTCCCTGAATGTGGATTCCAAATTGACATTGTTTTACATCTTGCAAGGCTGGATACAGATGTGCGTGTTCTTTTTACAGAGTAAATGACCTACTCTACAGGTCATGATAGGTGGTAAAAATTTTGAATATAACAAGGACTGTTACAAATTGTGCCCCAACCTCATGGAATAACCCACATTCTCTTGCTCATCAGTTATGTTGAGGATTCCCGACACTCATTCCTAGAATACATCTCAACTCAGGAGTATACAGTTCACTTTTACCGTTCAGCAAAATGGGCCAACTCAAACAGGACGAAAATCTAGATCTCTACTATTACAGGTACCAATTTACGGTGTATGTCTTGTGGAAAGATGCAATTGGTAATATCCAGCACATCGATACACACACCACACCATCCCACTTATCAGAGACCAAATAACAATGTGAGCTAGTCAAACTTTAAACAGAATTTGCTCAGCACATCCATTTTTTTCCCTCTTCTGACATGTACTAGTACAGTGAACTTTTGACACCGCCAACTTTTCCTCAAGCTAAAAATTTACGGCTTGGAAACAAACCAATGTAATCGAAATGATTTACAGCTTTTGAATGAAGCATGCAAGGTGTCAACTTAAGACTAAGACATGTCAAGTGAGTGCAATAATTGAAGGAAAAGCTCACATCCGCCATGAACAACAACAGATGGGAAAAAGTCTGACTGCTTGTAAGAATGGGAAATGTCCGATTTGTCTGGTGAAGTCAAAGTATTCTAAAGCACAAGAAAGTGCTGTGCAAACGCACTTTCTCAAAAAATGAACTGTCTGGAAAGATGTGGATTTTGTAAGCTTGAGAGAAATTTTTATACATGCAAATTACAAAATATTTTGATTTACAGTAAACAAAGACACACTTGTACATGAAAAAGAGATTTCATTGTACATTATAATGAATTGCTACCGGTTTGTTGACTGAAATGAACTCATGGTTCATTGCAAAAGATGAAGGAAAAGTGCTTCAAAACATACACATCACTAGACAATATCTCACAGACCTTTATTGAACTCAATAGTACAGTGACAGGTGTAGTCTAGTATCCCGTCTTCACATGTGGCACCGTTTAAGCATGGATCAGGGCTGCAATCATCAATATTCTGGCAGGTTAGAGGAGTTGGGGTTACCAGACTGAACCCAGGTGAGCAGTAACAGTCGAAGTCACAGCTTTGAGAAGGAGCTAGGCAGACAGGTTCACAGACTTCAGATGGAAAACAACCATCATGACTGATATTCCTAAAAACAGACACGAACAAGGACCGATTAGTTCAATTTTAATCAGTGAATTACACCTCAAGGTAAATGTTGGACACAGCAGGTTTTTACATTTTGAAAGGTGATTTCTGTAACTTGAAATTTTCCTTTTCACACGATTAAAGCTTCCAGCATCCCTAGGTCTGAGGTTAGGAAAGACAAAATTGCCAGGCATTGCATCACTTTTCAATAAACAAAGCATTGTAAAACAATGACAATTATCATAAATCTGCAGGCAATTTGAAGTAAACTGGATATTGTCTGCTATAAACCAACTGCTAAACTTGACATTTTTGGACCTAATACTTTGTAAATTCTTCCGAGTTTGGAGACAGCTGTTCATTCTTAGAACTTTCCGTCTTCATGATCAGTCAATCTATTGCTAAGCATCTTCTGGAGCTTAAGAACAATCAACTTTCAGACTATTATCTGTCAAGACAGGTAGCTTAAACCCATTCCTCCTTTGGATTTCTTAATGTACACTGTACCTTTCTGCCCTACTCTGTGTCTTGAAATTGATGAGCTCTGCCGGCTCAGGTGTAATGCTGTATGAAATGAAACGAAGTCCTTCAAAGCAACCTCTGAGCGAGGTCCGAGCAGGGGTCGGGAAAGGGTCAGGAAGGGTCATAGGGTCCTCAACACCTCCGATCAGGAGGGTGGCAGCATTCAGGGTTTGAGCAGCACCAGCTGTAGATAAGAATAAACAATTTAAAAGTGGAATGATATATCTGCTCAGCCCTGTCAAAGAGGCTTTGCATGTATAGGGGTTTTGTATGGTAGCCATCCAGGAAACTTCCTTCGTGCATATCCTGTGGAACAAAAGCACTGGCCTGCAAGACGGCAGCCGTGCAAACCCTCTATTGGTGACAGTGACTACAATCAATGCCTAGATTTCACGCTTATCAACTCATCAGTATTCTGTAATGCTTATGGCACAGCTTGCAATATGTTTATTAGTGAATCTCACAGCATGACTTACTACTTAGTGGAAATTAAACAGTGCACTCATCCTACAATAGGATCAAAGTCAGCATATTGGTGTTTGCACTTCGGTACCCCTCTACATTTACACCTGCTCCTCCAGAAAATTGTCTGACCCATTCTGGTAAACCCTTCTACAAGTAATTCTGTCTTTGCTTGGATTTGTCAGCAAAACTGCACATTTACCGGTATATTTAAAAGCTTGCATTCAGAAGGAGTGGAGAAAGAATTCAGTTCAAAGTAAGATGAAAACAATGATTGTTAACCTGCGAAACCAAATCAAAATCAGAAGATAATCTAGCCTGAGCAGGATTTTAACTGGGGCATTTAAAAAAAACTAACCTGTCTGTCCACATTGGTGTGATCATTATTACTATAAAAAAGTCCACACTGTTAAATGCATTTTGCCTTTTACTGAACACTGACAATGTTGAAATGGCACTTACGGTAGGTGACTGAGGCTAGCTGGCGTCCCTGTTCATCATACATGGTTGCATCCCTTCCTTCCCTGGTAACCCGTAGATACTTCCAACCTCCATCATTGTAAACCTGACCGTTGGATGGCGTTGTGGCAAACATGCCATCTCCAGACCCCTAGATGTACATGTACACAATGTATGATAACGTGCAAGTGACTTTAATGATAAGAAGTTACGAGCGATTCCACTCAACCAATCAACATTTACCGAAGGAATAATGTGCAAAATTTCAAACTTCATCTCACCTTTTCGATGCCTTAACATCTCTGTACCCACAAAACCTAATAAGATAAAGTTGGAATCTGAACGCTGTTGTAACAATGAAACTTGTAATTGAACAAACTGACCAGTGTGTACGCCGGCAAAATTCTTAATGCATGCAGAGGAAAAGAATTTCTTTGGATGTGAAACTTTGCAAGAACTGAGAGGTTAACAGTTCCCTGTCAAAGACAAGATATTCCACAGTAAAGTTTGACTAAATAAACCAATTTGTAAAGAAGTCTAAAACACACAAGTGAGTATCAATTAACTACATGTACCAATGTGTGGTAATAAGATACATGTCCTTGGCTAATTTGACATACCCTTGTGTTGAGTCCAAGGATCAGTCGTCCTTGATCCATGTAAACTGTCAGATATGCTGGACCACCAAAATAAAACAACAGACCACTTGATGCCCTGAAATTAAAAAGACAGTGGAACAATTCTTTAAACACTATCAAAATGATTAATTAACAAGTGCTAAAAACTTTTTTTGATTTAAGAAATACGAGACTTGAAATACTTTTCATTAAATGGTTAAAATTAGAAACAAATCCTGTGATGTTGGGGCTAGAAAGTTCTTTTGTTACATCGCAAATAAATTCATCAACAGTACCCATGTTATTCATACATGTTTGAGACTGACAAGATCTTTCTCAAGTATCAAACGGTTGCAGAATTCAACTTCATTCGGTTACTTGTGTATCAATTTTCTATCTCACAACAATGCAAAGACTCACTTTTCAGCTGGGTTTATTAATGTAATCTGATCTATAATTTCTTGTCAGAGACAGTTCTGTGACAATTCTGTGGTGATTAGGATAACACAGATCCTACAGAATAAAATACCATGATCAGTGTTTTTTCATGTTAGACTTGAAACTTTTGGATATTTCCCATTAGCCTGAGACTCAGGATTGTCCTGGTCTGGGGGAGGAGTGTGAGAGAGGAAAGGGGTTGGGATAGAAGGTGCTTAATGGGAACAATGGGTAACATACCGGGTATATATTGATGTTATCAATGTACTTACTTTGTACGGAACCTAAGACTCAAGATTGTCCTAGTTCCTGGAGTGAGTGGATGCTCTATGGACAGAAATCCCTGGCTACTTTGAACTGTAATGACAGTAGGTGGAGCACAGAAATCTCCAGGACAACCATCTTTGACCCCATGTAGTTCATCCGCAAGGTCAAAGTTCAGAGTATTTTGACTGGTTCTGATGTAGTAAACACATGTGACCAGGTAGCCATTTAATCTTTCTGTGTTAACCTAATATGGGAAATAAAAAGTTTTAAAAAAAGTTTACATCTTTACTCTAAAGCTTTACAAAAATAAAAAGAAGCTCGAACTCAATATTATCTGATTAAATTTATCAACAACAGACAGTGGGGACCTGCCACTTACAGCTGTTATTAGAAACACTTTCAAAATAAAAATTTTCACAAAAAAAGACATCAAAATATTGTTTTTGTGCATGTCGTTGTTATAACATACATGTACATGTAGTTCTAATTCTTCATTGGTGGGAACTGAACCTTTACTATTAAAAACACTAAGTTTGTGTTTGCCAAAACAAATATGTTGGGCATGATTCATCTTTCATCCAGAATTAAACACAATGAAATGGAGTTACTTTCCAATCAGTTTCTACGTTTTAATTACTCTGTCAATTACTGCTTTAGACAAATGAGGAAAGAACATTTGTACAGGAAATTATTGTTACAGGATGGCCAAGGTTTATGGAAAACAAACTGTCCTTGCTCCTAAGTGAAGAATAGGACTGGAGCTCATGTTTGGAACAAAAGGATTTCATCAATTTGTTTTCTTAATGGGAAGTTATACAAGCAGTTCTGAGTCATCAAGTTAGCATAATTATTTAAAGACTTGATTAACCCTTGCAGTAGCTTGTGATACATTACATTGTTTCTTCCCTATTCACTTAGAAGTACAACATCTAATAACCTGAGTGGACAGATGTACCGGTATTCTGCAGTATCCTACAGGCATTTTTTTGGTATTCTGGAGGATGTCACACACGTGTACTGTCTTTAAACGGAACTGTCAATTGTGATGACTGTGAAATGATAGAGATAAGGAATTGCTTTTGGCATTTCTCAGGAGTTTTGGTGGTCACTGCCACTCTCTGGCTTCCTTTTGAGACCTTTAATGTTGACAAAACATGCAGATGAATACAGGAAACTTGTCCTAAACAACTCACAAAATACAATTAACTTGAACTACAAGTACGTATATGTTGAGAAATCACATTTTGGAAGATCTCCTTCATTGGCAGTGAATGTGCCATTTGCAATCACCATCAAAGTTTTTTTTTTAGTCCTTTGGGTTTTGAATTCAGCCTGAGGCTTCTGCCAATCAAGTTTCATGCAAAAATTTAGAGAGCACATGAGTAACAATGAAATTACATGTAGTCACAGCAGAAGAAACCGGCTTTAAACTTTGGAAAAAAGTGAAGTCAGCTTAGGTGAAAGTCATGGAGAAATCTCCATCTATCTGTATAACGCTGTATTCAGAGAAAAAAGCCATTCATCAAATGATACTTTTTAAATAATAAAACGATTTGCTGCTGGAGACACAAGGACTAGAGTGAATGACGACATTAACAAGAAATCTATTTTGCCAGGGGCAGGAGGGAACAAAGGAAAAGAAATGATTTTTTTGTTTTCTCTTGACTTTAAGACTCTAATCTATTTTACATTACTGACACTTGTACATGATGTTCACTTCAGAGACAAGATTATGAGGAGCCAGGATTTTCAAGACGTTCTATTGGGACTTGGGAGAACATTTTGTCACATACATGTACCAGGCGAATGAATATTCCCTATACTTTATGGATACTAGTATCAAGATACAGAATAGACAAAGCCAAGATGATTCTTTTTATAAGCTGCTCAAAGCCTTCATCTTCTTGAACCCCCATGCCAATTTTGTAAGACATGTACCTTCAATAAAAAATTGAGCAAATGATCTTTTCTTGCCTTAAGTGGTGAAATTAAGGTGGCCAAAACTGTTTGTATGAGTAGTTTTGCTATTAAAGCTTTCTCACACGTAACTTAAATAAATCAGAAACTCAAGTGGAAGTCATTTTTCTGATTTTGGTGCTGCCTGCAGAATTGAAGTTTACTCTGAGATTATCATGGAATCATGAAAACCATTTTAACATGCGTGCAGGCCACTAACAAAGGACAAGTGGGTTTACAGCACTGATACTTAAAAAATGCTAATGGGCTACTTTCTCATTTTTCAAAATCTCTATTCAGTTCAATTGACCTCTGAGGAAAGAAGCTGCAAGCCTTGGAGGTCAAATCCTGAAGGAATGAAAGTCTAGAGGAAATCCTCATTGCTCAATAAACTTGAGCCATTTCCATCTGCTTGTCAGGATGATGTCCTTCAAGTGTCGATCAGTTGACCAGTTTGAGAAAAACCAACCCTCTCTAGATGGCTGAACTACAGTACCGGTACCAGATAACTGTGGACAGCTGTTGATAGGGCGTCAGATTTTCCAATCACACAGGAAATCTCCAGACACCACGAGAAAGCCCTGAGATGCTGTCCCTTTAGGCTTAGTGCATAACAAAGTTGAACTTAGCACAGAAACAGGACTGCCAGAATATAAGAGTTAAGTTTTAGACACTTTTTTCCTGTCTGAATGAAAACTTGTGTTGTTTTTTTTCTCGGGGGGGGGTAAATAAGATCTGGAACATAGAAATTTAGTCAGATCTTGTGATCTGAGGACTGAACAAAAATCATTTGGTTCCACTGGATCAAAAGGATCAGCTCCATGAGAATTCGAATTCTTTTGATTTAAAAATGATCAGGGTTGAAACTGAGGCACGAAAGGGAAGCAGTACTCACTCTGAGATTGTTGACATCTTGGTAACCTCCTATAAATACTGGCCCCATGAGATGAGAAATGTTCAGTTGTCCTTGTGAGATTGGAGTAAGATACTCCACGTTGGCTTGTTGGTTGTTGATGGTTGCAAAGACATTACTTGCTTGAGGAGAACCAAGGTTGAAGATGACTACAGTGTAGGTGGTGTTAGGAAGTAAGGACCCATCTCCAATAAACAGCTGTGAGAAATGAAATTCACACACTAATTATGAACGACTTGAAAACTACAGGAGAAATTCTATGTGAAGTGGCAAACATACCTTTTCACTATGCATTTAAAAATGAATCAACATTTTTTTAAGAGCAGTCTTCAAAAGTCATGATATGAACCCTTATCAAAGATGTGACCCCACCTTTGAAAGAATCCTTCTACAAGGGTTTAGACCCCCTTTGAGTCTGTTTATTCCCTGCATGGGTTTGAATGTGTTCAAATATTTGTTTACAAAAACCTGTACTTTTTTCTGAGAGAGTTTAGATTAAGGGAATGATGGAGCCTCCTAGGGCTTTGCTGAAAATCTGAATATTTAATTGAGTACATGTACTGTACATCAAATATTCAAATATTACTTTCCAAATTCGAATATTTGAATGCAAAATTCAAATATGAAAACGAAAGGAAAAGTTTCGTTTGTTTCAAATGAGCAAATTGCACTATGCAGGCTAGTTTCAAGCAGATTCAAATGAAATGTGACAAAAAGTAAATTGTTCATTAAAATATTTTAAAGGACATTATTTGTATCTAAATCTTGCTAAATCATGGCTGGAGATACTCCTAGACATGAGAAGCTATTATAGTGATTACATGTATAATGTAAAATTGTGTGCGTTATTGTAACTGATTTTGTATGGATTGTTCATCAACAATCTGCTGGTCAGTACAACCGAATGCAATCACAGTGAAGGTCAAATATTCGAATGGTGAATTATTCAAATTGACTCGGCCCTAGCGCCTTCCAGCAAGTTCCTATCTGCTGTGGTTCTTAAGAATGGAGCTACATGTACTAGCCAACATTGACAAGGTTCTGGTATTATTACAAGTACTGTGTATGAAGTCTCTAACAGCTCCAAGATCTTGCAGGAAGACTTATGACAGGTGGTTTCCTGTCTGTATGCCGACCAGGGGCCAACAGTTGGCCGAGTTAAATGGGACAAAAACTGCTCAGTCATGGACACAATTTAAAGTGGAGCTGATGATGCCAGTTTCTGCCAGTATGTTGCTGGTCATGACATGTTTGGAAGAGGAGTCAAGTCTTAAAAGCAGATGACAAGTTGATGATTTACAAATTATACCACTAGATGGAACCATCAATTGTAAAAGCAAATTTACATGACACCTTGCAATTCAAGACACTACACTTGGGCTCAGACTAAAAAAAAAAAGGTGTACTGTACATGTACATCTATCTACATGTAGGGTCTACATTGAAAATCCATTCTTCCCTGTATATGTACACTATACCGGTACAGGTACATGTAGGGTCTACATTGAAAATCCATTCTTCCCTGTATATGTACACTATACCGGTACAGGTACATGTAGGTCTACATTGAAAATCCATTCTTCCCTGTATATGTACACTATACCGGTACAGGTACATGTAGGGTCTACATTGAAAATCCATTCTTCCCTGTATATGTACACTATACCGGTACAGGTACATGTAGGTCTTAAAAAAATGCTGAGTTTTACTTGGTTATGTTGCATTTATGGAAAGTCAAGACACCTTCAACAAGACAAGACTCGTATTTCACATTCGGCCTCAGCTACATGTACATGTACCTGTAAAAGACAGGGTAAAAAAAAGAAGGAGGTCACATCCTCTTGATTTCTTTCCATCTAATCCTGGAAGTGTCTTTGACCTTCTCTGGGCGGGGAATTGATCTCCACTTTGGCGAGAAATTCAATATCAGCTGAACACAAGCTGCTTGCTGAAAGCCGCTACCAACCAAGTATAACAGACTATGATCTGGGGTTCTGCACGATTATACATACTAATGCAATTATGCTTCACCTTTACATGATTACTGCTGATATTCAAGTCACTGGGCATTGATTTGTGGTGTTCTACATTTATGTGAGAAAATTGAGTTACTGGGGCAACTCGTCAAAGTTTTTCTATGATGGGTGTGTCCGCAAGGTCTATCCTGCATCATCAGAGGAACAAAGTTGTAGAGTATGGAAGGAGTAAGGGGCTTGGTTATGGGTTTCACACCGGTAAGTGCAGGTACACTTGTACATGTATGGTAGGAAAGTGACATGTACATGGACATGCAGCTGGAGACAAAAACAGGAAAACTGTAACATAGGCAGAAAATTGTGGAAGTGAAATTGCGGGGTGTGACAAGGTTAAGGCTTGGCTGTGTAATACCGGTATCTAAGAACTGAAATCAACAGTAAAATGAGGCATTGAAAAGGTTAAGAACTGGCTTTGGAAAATCTTAGAACTGACAATCACTGGTAACTGAAAATCAAGTTACCAAATGAGCGCTGTACGGAACATTTTGTGAGTATTGACCCTGTTGTGTTCATTGAAGCATAACATGTGGATGCATACATGCCCAGCAGAAATGAGAGTGACTGTGAGTTTTGTTACAGTACCAGACCTGAACTTCCCTGAAGTAAGACAATGGGACAAATGGAGCAGGAAATGGCTAACAAGGAGGGGTTAGAAGATGTTTAGACTAGCACCTAGTCCCAAGTGAACACCTGCTTATCAATCAAGAACAGGGAGAAAATACAGTAGGGGGGTTGGGAAGGGTGTGTGTGAGTTTGCATAGGTCTGTTTAATCTGATATGATACACATACTGAACATGTAGGTCAAGGCATGCTCCATGTTCTAGACACCCAGCATAGCTACTGTTTACCTACATGTCGATGTAGGTGGTCCTCAGAGTCAGGTCATCTGTTTTGGGAAAGGAGTGGGGGAGGTTTGAGTCTAGGTATTTCAGTACATGGAGTTATAAACCAGTCAGTAGCAGGTAGGGGTAATTCACAGATAAAGTACAAGAACAGATACAGGTAGAAGATCAAGTCTGTTTGTACATTTTTATTTGTTCGTTACCATTTCCATCATTTCTCTTTTACATGTACGAGTGAATCTATTTTTTGCCATTATGGCATCTTCCATAAAACTTCGCCCAAACATACATGTACGGTACCGTACATTTCTGTTTATTTTACAATGTACATATTTTAAGAGTAATCTGCCGGTGTCAATGTTTCAAATAAGTCCTGTGAAAATGTGAAGAACAAATGAAACGGTTTTTATTGCTTCCCTTTGTTACATTAACCAAAACCAAACTGACTAGTTGCTAAATTGGTAGCTTGGCCACAGCACTGGTCAAGCTTGAAATCCTGTGAGACCACTTACTGACTGCAATCACCAATCCATTCATTCCTTGCTGACTGGATATCCCCGGAAGAAATTCATTTCACACATCCTCAATTAGATTAAGAAAATCAATCCTCTAAGGAAGAGGACTTGGGTACTACAGTATACTACATGTACACCTAGAAAGCGTATCTGTTTCTTGGAGATGCGATAAACCTCAGGCCAAACCATCTTGACAAAAGTTTTTGCTAATCTATCTGTGTAACAATGGCTTCCAGAATTATGAATTAAGCTTTTTGTATAGGCTGTAACAACTCTAACTCAATATCGGTTGAATGGTATTTGAACATGTTTGTTTAAAACAAATGCAAACGACATGTATTGGTTCATTTAAATGAACTGGTAATATTTATTTTCATTTACATGTCGTACAAATGTACATGTGTGCTTTAAAATAATCTCTTCTCATTTCTCTTCATATGGGACCACGAAATGAAACAATTACCTTTATACTTAAAAAGTGGTTCTTTGCTACAACATGCCTGTCATTTTTACTTGTAAGGCTGCACATGTACTGTCACAATTACACTGCAATAACACCGATGTAAAGTTTTTTCTGCAGAAAAGCGAGGAAGGCATGCATTTCAAATTCAACAAATTTCTAATTTCTTACCTCAATGAGAGAATCAGCTGTCACCTTCCACTCCAAATAAATCTTGCCATCGCTGATGCCCAACGCAAAGAATAAAGTCTGTTGTTGAGGGCTTGTTCCTCCATCTTGATACAGCAACATTCCATGGTCATTGCAATAACGGAATTGGAATTCAAGAACACTCTCTGCCCCTCGAAGCTGATTGGTGGAAGTGTCTATAATGTCATTGTATTTGATGTATGCATCAATGTCAATGAACTTTTCCGCTGATTGAGAACGAGTAAAACTCACCAATGAGGCTGCGGACAAAGATACATGTAGATAAGGGTAAACTTAAGCAAACTGTTTCAGGGGGGGGGACATACATGTACATGAAGCAACTGGTAACAATCTAGCACCGGAGATAACCATCTAGATAACAAGCTATCCTGTAACAACACAGACACTGGAATAGCAACCTTACCATAGTGTGACAGAGATTACATTCAAAACTATAATAAGGAGTGGTTCTCTGAAAGGTTGATAACCACTCTCCATCATGTCAACAGACAGGGGAAATGGGGGGGGGGACTCAGGGAGGGGTGTCAAACACCAGGGGGAAGTCTTAGTTCCTATTGCGTGCTTAGTCAACACAGCCTCAAATCTTGAATCACACATTCACAGCTGTGGCTATTTTAGCTTGGTTTGTAACTTGTCCACTACTGTGCTATCTTATTAAATGAAATGACACTTGACCTACATGTACATGAAGGGATAGAAAGGGTGGCAGAAACAGCCTAAATATCACGGGGGTGACTGCGGGATATGATGCTTCATTAGTTGATAAAAATAAGCAGCAAGGAACAGTGTACATGTACGTAATTCTGACAGAAAAAAGAATGGAACTGAAAAAGGTGGAAGCTGGAACTCACACTCCAACAAACTTGGCATACATTTTCCCGTTAACTCGGCAAATGGAAAACGGCATCATCAGTATTGGGGGAGAACAGAGCAATGGGTATGTACATGTACATGTACAGTACTCCACTAATTACATGCAATGTACATGTACATGTGAGTTTGATGTTTTTTCCAGTAAAATGAACATGAACAAAACTACACTTGGGATCAAATTAACTCAAGCCTGAAGGGTTGGGAGGAGGTTCATTCAAATGCTTGTTGGCTTGGTCAATTAAGCCTAACAGTCCTCCACCTGTCCTCCAACAGGTGCAAGATTGAGGAGTGTTAGGTTAAGACTTAAAGGTTTTCATGGTGAAAGAAACTAGATCTATAGTAAAGATTGCGGTAACACCATGTATTTATCTCTTCTTTGAGTATGTGTGGTTCTGAGAAGAACCCGGACAGAGTACACTGTTCGAAACGTCGAGTTATTCCCCGGTTC